TTTAATCCAGGTTACAATAATCCACACTTTTAATCCAGGTTACAATATTCCACACTTTTAATCCAGGTTACACTCTTCCCTCAAGGACACATTTTACAAAGTAGCTACATATTGTGCAGGTATAAAGACACATTTGTATATATTTTTGTGTACATTTATTTTTTAAGCTATTTGACTAACTTTTATTTTTATTATTCAATATTTTACTAACAGAATAGTCAAATAGCAACCTGTTTTTAGTGTGAATTGCTATGTCAGTCAAATGTTCAATTTCGGAATAAAGGGGTGGAAATTAAAATGTTTTTTTGTTTTTTTTGCCGATTCATCGATTAATTGAAAAAAATAATCGGCCGATGAATCAATTATTGAAATAAGCGTTAGTTGCAGCCCTAATAGAAAGCTCTCGACCTTTGACCTCTCTAAGTGGCTTTAAGGATCTGTTGAACTCCTGGCAGGGACCAATGCAGACATGTTGTCGTCATTATCTGCATCGTTTTTATGTCTTTATTCTGATTTACTTCATTTTGTATTTTGCTTCTTGAGTTACCTGTTGTTCTGTCTGTACAGCATTTTGGTTGACCTTGTTGCTGTTTTAAGTGCTTTATAAATAAAGTGGTATGGTATGTTCCTGTTTTTAGTTTTCTACATTAGCCTTAGAATCTAGCTATTTTTGTTGCTTTTATTTTTTAAGCCATCCTGTTTGTTAAAAAAAAATAAAAAATCTGTATGACTTTTTATAACTGTTTATTGTTGTCATCTTTCTTTGTTAAACCAGGTCTCTCTTGTAAATGAGTCCTCGAGGCTCAATGGGATTTACCTGAAAAAATAAAGGTTGAATGAATATGAAGAAATTGTTGGTGTGTACAGAAGGCTCAGGAGTGTGTGTGTGTGTGTGTGGGGGGGGGGGGGGGTGAGAGAGAAATAAATAAATTAAAGTGAACAATCAAACGTTTCTTTTTTAAGTATAAAAGGTATTCATTTATACATTTATTAATATGCCCATGCTCAGAGACCCATCCAAGATGGCGGCCGCGCTGACACGCCAGTCTGTCTTGTGTCTGGATCTCTTTGTGTTCCGCAGCAGCTGGTTGGGCTCGTGAATTGTTACACGCGCAGCCCGCAGATAAACCTGTTGGGCGGGGTGATTCTCGGCGGTTCCACGTCACACTGATTCTGTTGTTCAGTGTTCAAGTGTCGGGGGCGGAGCTAAATGCTCCGGTCCAGTCAGCCATAGGTATAAACACATATATGATATCTATGGTCATGTGACTCCTTACAGCGCTTTGGTTGGCTCACTAGATCACGTGACAAATTGACGCGTTGTCATAGAGACTAACCCCCACCCCCGTCATCTCCCGCTGCCCCAGTCTGTAAATCAAACGACCCCAAACATGTGTGGGTGGGCGGGTTCTAAAGTACGAGCCGTGATCTGATTGGCTGAGCGCTGCAGCAGCGGGCTGCGCTTTGATTAGTCAGAAGTAAACAGAGGCGCTGTCAATCAGAACGTAGCTCCGCCTCCGGTTTGGACCGCTAACGGCTCGGGACCAGAACCCCGCACTTTGTTCCTGATTCGGTTTGTGGTCTGGTTCTGCTGAGCTGAGCCGTCAGAGGGATGTCCCGGCTGCTGGAGAGCAGGAGGACCGACAGGATGAAGGAGATCAACCTGAAGGTGGGTCCACCGGAACCGCTCAACAAACCATCAGCTTCTGGACCGGATCACAAGCGATCAGGTTCTGGATCAGACTTTGGTCCTCATCGTGTTCCGTTTGGGTTGATCATGACAGCTGGTTCCGTTCCTGACAGACACACGGCAGATCGATCATCGATGGGTTCTGATCGATCATCAGTGGGTTCTGATGGATCATTGACGGGTTCTGATGGATCATTGACGGGTTCTTTTGGATCATTGACGGGTTCTGGTGGATCCCGGCCCGGTTCTGGTCGCAGTTTAAAAGAAATCTGCGGAGGAAAGTTGGAGCTCAGAAACGGGAAGCGGACTTTTTTTTTTTCGCGAACTGAAACCGCGCTCGCTCGTTCCTGCCACGGGTTGCGCGTGCTCGCGAGTGCGTGTCCCGGTATGTATGTGTTCGTGCGGCGCGTGGGCCGGTACCGGTGTCGGCGGACTTTGGGGATGTTTTGGACTGTTTCCGGTAACGGCAGCGTGGCCGCTTTGTCCTGCAGAGGAAACTGGGGGGAGGGGAGGCAGTGCGCGTGCGCGAGCGTCATACAGGAAGTGGACTAAAAGTTTGACCTTTGACCTGTAAACTGAAATCAGCTGATTTTATTGATCCTAAGAAAAACTAGAAACAGAAGTGGTTCAGTCAGATCTGTCCGTCCTGCTCTGTGTGCAGTCCAGCCACAGGTTCCTCGTGCCGGGTCAGAACTTTATTCGGACTCGGTTCAGAATTCGGCATCCTGTCAGGAAAGTTCTCCGTCTGAGAACTGAACACGGACCGACCAGCCCAGATGAAGGCCGGCCCGGTCCAGTTGGAGACGGACAGAAAGCTACCACATCTTTACAGAGTGGAGCTGCCGCTCTGACCGGTTCTGAGGCACCGTACATTCACATGTCCCATCACGTGCACATCAGAAAATGCACGTGTTGGTCAGAACCAACCCAAGAATCAGATTCGTAGGTTGGGATTTCCAGGTGTGTGTGAAATAAAGCCGAGACTTACCTGCGAGTCACCTGACAGGTGCATGTGAGTCACATGACAGGTGCATGCGAGTCACCTGACAGGTGCATGCGAGTCACATGACAGGTGCATGCGAGTCACCTGACAGGTGCATGCGAGTCACCTGACAGGTGCATGCGAGTCACCTGACAGGTGCATGCGAGTCACATGACAGGTGCATGCGAGTCACATGACAGGTGCATGCGAGTCACATGACAGGTGCATGCGAGTCACATGACAGGTGCATGCGAGTCACATGACAGGTGCATGCGAGTCACCTGACAGGTGCATGTGAGTCACATGACAGGTGCATGCGAGTCACATAACAGGTGCATGCGAGTCACCTGACAGGTGCATGTGAGTCACATGACAGGTGCATGTGAGTCACCTGACAGGTGCATGTGAGTCACATAACAGGTGCATGCGAGTCACCTGACAGGTGCATGTGAGTCACATGACAGGTGCATGCGAGTCACATAACAGGTGCATGCGAGTCACCTGACAGGTGCATGTGAGTCACATGACAGGTGCATGCGAGTCACCTGACAGGTGCATGCGAGTCACATGACAGGTGCATGTGAGTCACATGACAGGTGCATGCGAGTCACCTGTCACTGCTAATTCACATATTTAGCCCAACACATTGTGCAGTGAGTTTTTCACTCTGGGTGTTCACACGCCTACGCCTCAGTGAAGCATCCCTTCTGTTGCCGTGGTTACCTGCAGGTTACAGCACAGCTCTCCGCCCACACAATGTTCAAATATTGATCGACACTGGAATATAAGGGAGAATGATTTATGATCAGCTGATCATGGTTTCTTTAACAAATACATTTTAATAAATGAATGACTTTCAATGAACAGCTGATCTAGGTGAAATTTCCTTTAAACTCTAATCCATCCTTCCAAATCAGTTTTTTTCAGTTCATCTTATTTCTAAAGCTCCAAGTCACAACAGAAGTCGTCTCAGGTGCTGAACAGAAACATTCATCTATAAATCTGAAAAAGTTCAATCTGGTCCTCTGGACATTCAAAAAACAAAACTAAAAAAATATAGAAATGTTTCGTCTCTCATCCAAAGGACTTCCTCAGTCTGAGGTGCTGTATTCAGCTCAGTCTCTTAAATAGCACCTTCTCAGACTGGATCAACCAGTTTGCTGCTGACAACCAGAACCAGCTGATCACATGCTCAAGAAGGACCATCAGCCTAACAATGGATCATTAGCACCTGATGGCTGTTTACTGTTCACAGAGGGCTGAGTGATACTAGCAATCACAGCATTGTAAGTGTTTATTTTCTAAACATAACGTCCCAGTGGCTTTTAAACCCCAAAATACATTAAAGACTGGTTCATCTCAAAGATCCAGTCCCCCGGCACAAACAGTATTACAATATTGTGTATGTTGTTCAGTGTCAGGAGGGTGATCAGTCTTACATCGAGGAAACTAAACAGCCACTGGCCAAAAGGATGGACCAGCACAGAAGATCAACATCATCAGGCCAGGACTCTGAGGTCTACACTCATCTCCAGGCCAGCGGTCACTCTTTCAGGGATGAAGATGTTCACATCCTGGACAGAGAGGAACGATGGTTTGAGAGAGGAGTAAAGGAGGCCATCTTTGTGAAAAGAAACCGTCCATCGTTAAACAGGGGAGGAGCCTCCGGGTTCAACTGTCCCCCTCTTACAATAATATTATAGATTGTACCCAGGGGAAGCCACTCCCTGTCTTTATGGACTTCCAAAAATACATAAAGAAGGAACACCACTCAGACCCATCGTCAGCAGCATGAACTCAGTAACATACAATATTGCTAAACATCTGGCAGGTATTTTAGCTCCTCTTGTTGGAAATGCACCTCATCACATAAAGAACTCCATTGATTTTGCTAACAAAGTTCAACACTTGAAACTAACCCCAGGAGAAACCCTTGTATCGTATGATGTGTCTTCTCTTTTCACATGCATACCCATCTCTGAAGCAGTAGAAACCGTCAGAAAACAACTTCTACAAGACAAGTACTTAATCAACAGGACCAACTTCACCCCAGACCAGATCTGCACCCTGTTGGACCTCTGCCTCTCCACCACTTATTTCAAGTTCAATGACAGTTTTTACAGACAGAAGCACGGCTGTGCCATGGGATGTCCAGTGTCACCCATTGTTGCCAATCTCTACATGGAGGAAGTGGAACAGAGAGCCCTACACTCCTATGAGGGAACAAAGCCAAGCCATTGGTTCCGTTATGTGGATGACACCTGGGTCAAAATCCAAGCCAAGGAAATAGAAGCGTTCACCAGACACATTAACTCGGTCGATAACAACATCAAGTTCACCAGAGAGGATGCAAACGACAACAAGCTGCCTTTTTTGGACTGTTTGGTTCAGATGGAGAGAGAGGACAGCCTCAACATTGAAGTTTACAGGAAACCAGCCCACACAGACCAGTATCTTCTGTTTGACTCCCACCATCCACTGGAACACAAACTCTCTGTCATCAGAACTTTACAACATCGGGCCGAATGCGTCCCCACGAAGACAGAAGGGACAGAAACACGTTCAAGAAGCTCTTCAAATATGTGGATATCCAAACTGGGCTTTTGTCAAGTCAGTGAGGAAATCTACAAAACACACCAATAAACTGAAAAATGAGAACAACAGACATAAAAACATTGTCATCCATTATGTTGCTGGAGTATCAGAGAAACTCAGAAGGATCTTCAACAAACACAAGATCCCAGTACATTTCAAACCCAGCAGGACTCTCAGACATAGGCTGGTCCACCCTAAGGACAGAACACCCATACACAAACAGAGTGGTGTAGTGTATGCGGTCCAGTGCAGCCAGGACTGTCCAGACCTCTACACTGGAGAAACTAAACAGCCTCTTCACAGACGCATGACTCAACACAGGAGAGCTACCTCCTCTGGACAAGACTCAGCTGTTCACCTCCATCTCATAGATAAGGGACACTCTTTTGAGGACTGAGAACACAGATGGTTTGAGAGGGGGGTGAAGGAAGCAATTTATGTAAAAAGAGAAAAGCTGTCTCTTAACAGAGGAGGAGGCCTCAGATTTCCACTTTCAAAAACCTATAATGCAACTTTAAAACAGATCCCCAGCCGGTTTTCACACCTGATGGGAACTGAGGGGCCTCGACTGTGAATTAGAGGAACAAAGACCTACTGTTAAGGTGTTGAGGTGTGACTTGTCAAATCTACATGTGTGTGTGTGTGTGTGTGTCTTATGTGTGTGTGTGTCTTATGTGTGTGTGTCTTATGTGTGTGTGTCTTATCTCACTCAGCCTCTGAACCAGAATCTCTCACTCTCTGCTCTTTGAATTGAGAAAGCTCCTGGGATGAGGAGAGAAACGTGTTCTGTTACAAATAAAGTCCAGTTGTTTTTGTATTGAACACTTTTTGGATTCTGGAAGGTACAGCTTATTTAAAGAAACAAATATTTTGTTGTATGTTACATTTATGATCAACAGATCTTAAGATTAATTTTATTTAGTTATTTTGGGAAACTTCACTCGCACTTTAATTTTTGTGGTGGATTTATTGATCTATATTTTGTGCAGACTTACAATCTAATTAACAGAAGGATCATTTTTATTTTTAGAATTTTATACTTGGAGACTGAATACTTTACTAAATAAAGTAATTTCAGTAAAATTAACCCTTGTTTTTTAATTTTTATATAATACTGCAAAGCAAAATGTTAATTTTGTCAAATCAATAACTATGATTTCTGGTTTTTTGTTTTTGTTATATCACAAAATTTATCGTTATCGTCAGAATGCTCTGAAATATCACAATATTATATTTGAGCCATATCGCCCAGCCCTAGTTCTCTGCATGAGAATGCTCCACCTTGTCCTCCATGCAGCACCAGA